GCCCTGGGGGGGCTGGGAGGGGGGAAGGGGGGCAGCGGTTCCTCACCTGGATGCCGGTGGGAATGTCGTAGACGATCCGGATGGTTTTGGAGTCGGTGTAACCCGGGAGGGAGTGGGGGATGAGGTGGAACTCCATCTTCCCGGGGGGCTGCGTGCCCGTCTTCTCCCCGTAGATGGCCTTACAGGTGGGGCACTGCAGGCTGCCGTCCTGCGTGGGCACCCGGGGGGGGCATGAGGGACATCACCCACCCCTCAGCACCCCCAGGTGTCCCCCGGGGTGGGGGGGTGGTCCCAGCTCACCTTGTTGCCGTTGTTGTACATGGCCAGGAGGCAGAGGAGGTGGTACATGTGCCCGCACTTGCCCAGCTTGCCCACCAGCTCCGGCTTGATGCCCCTGTGGCTGAGGACCCCCTCGTAGCCGGAGGAGGTGACCAACCTCTCCATGCAGATGGTGCAGTCCTGACGGGCACAGGTTGAGGGGCATCAACCCCCCGGGTGGGATGGGGAGGTCACCCTCGGCTCTCTGTCCACCACGGGGGGCTGCCCACCCCCTGCCTGAGCCCCGTGAACCTCCAGCAGCCCCGGTGTGAGCCCGTGGGCCCAGCCATGGTGCCCGGGGGTGCCCACTTACCTCATCCGGGGGGTTCTTCACCTTCTGGATGTAGCGGCGCACCACGTCCTCGGGGGTCTTGCCTGCCACGGGCAGAAGCGGGGTGGGGGGACACCATCAGAGCCTGCCCGCGGTGCCCCCAGCACCCTGCCACCAGGATGGGGACAGCTCGAGGAGGAGGGGCTGTGGGCATCACCCCAAAACCCCTCGGGGGGGTATCCCACCCCCCGTGGGCAGCAGCAGTGCCCGTGCCTCAGTTTCCCCCCCTGGCAGGGCGGAGGGGGCGCGGGGGGGCACCGGCGGCTCCTTACTCTTTTTGAGATGCTTCTTTTTGGTTTTCCTGCAGATGCCGTTGATGCCGGGCACGGGTTTGATGTCGCTCTTGCTGACGGGCGGCGGGTGCAGGATGGGTTTGGGGGCGCGGGTCAGGCAGACGGGCAGCCCGGCGGCGCACATGAGGATGCCCGTCATCCCTGTGCCGGGGAAGAGTGAGGGGGGGAAACCTGCTGTCCCTCTGTCCACCCAAAATCCATCCATCTTTCCCATCACCTGGCCATGCCCCAGCCCCACACCCTGCTCCCCAGCCCCACGATGCCACCCCACGGTGGCAGGACCCCCCCCTTACCTGCCAGGGCGGGATGGACGGGGCCGGTGCCGTTCAGGTTCTTGACCGGGAGGGCTGGCACCCTGCACGGAGATGGGGAAGGGGTTCAGCGGGGTTGGCAGGGCTGGCACTGTCCCCTCCATGTCCCCAGGGCAGTGTCATCCCCGTGGCACGCAGGGCAGGGTGTCCCCTTGCCAGGTGAGGGGTTGCCATCCCACCTCATGGGATGTCACCCAGTGCCATATGTCCATCCCTGGGGTCCCAAAGGCACTGGGGACATCACCTCCTCCTTGACCCTCACCAGGATGTCCTGATGGTGATGTCTCGTGTCCTGCACCCCCCCACGGGCATACGCCCTGCCCCATGGCACCTCACCCATCACCCTGGACACCCATGCCCCAAGGGGACCCTCACCACTCCAGGGCTGCTAGCACCAAGACCCCCGGGGCGATGGCACGGTGCCTCCCTGCCTGCTTGTCCCCCCTGACCCCGGGCACCTCCTGGGTGCACCCGTGTGTGTACTCATGTGTGCACCCGTGCGTGCAAGGCTGGGTGTGCAGCTGGGAGAGCGGGCAGAGCTGGGGGGGGAGGCGGGGGCCTGTGTGCTGGTGTGGATGTGGCCGTGCCCACAGGTGGGGTGGACT